CGTGAACGATACCTTAACGCCATAGATCTATTCATGACAAATGCTCAGTGAAAAACGAGCTCTTGATTATCAAGCTGGGAAATCCTTGCGAAAGCACTGTAAGGCTGTAAACTTTAATGGTCATATGTTTATGTATGATTCCTTCTAAGTTCAGACGCGCACAACGACGCGTGCGCGCACATGGGGCGCACGATTATTACTTTGTTTGTTACGTTGAATCTTAATTATACTCATATATACTCAGCAATGTGGAATAACATATCTTTCCAGGACCTGGACGAGTGGATTTTTGACAAACCTACAATAAATTTTACATACACTTTGTCTTAATTTTCATAAGCTTACTATTTGATGGATGGCTTACAGATGGTTCACTCGTCCCGAGACCCTTCCCCTAAATATAGCCACAAAACAAATATAAAATATAGCCTTGCTCGGTTTGTGTTCGCATTTTCCATGATTTCACCTGCAGCTTCCATTCATTCTTTGCACCCTAGTTTTAGAGCGGAAATGCGGTTACGGAGTTGTCGTCAACGGAAATCTCTTCTTTTGGATGATGAGTCAAGGACACCTACTTTAGGCCCCATCTTACAAGGGAAGGATCCCAGGTCGAAGTGGCCATTTGTAACGAGACATACACCACTAGATGTGTTTTTGGACGCTGATCTTGAATCTGCTCTCCAAATCTGCGGAACGATTCTCTGAACGTAGTTATGAAGCGAGATAGTGCAGTGGCAGCGGCCCGGGCCAACGGGAAAGACGTGGGATCGAATTTTCGGCGAGTTTTGACTTTGCTTTTCCTGAGATGTTAAGGAAATCCTCATCTATGCTAAGTCATCAGCACTCGCCTTATTACTAGTGCGAGGAGATAGCGAGGAGTTTCGATCAAGTGTGCGTGCCATGTGCAAATGACCAACGGTGACTGCCCACATTTGCAAAGTTAGGTACAAATTTCAGATTTGGACCAAAAGTTGTGGAAAGGGGCATTTTGACGCGCTGAATACGAATATCACCTCTGTTTGGCACGAATGCGCCTGACGCGTGCGCTACGAGTACAAGGGGCGATCTTTTGCGAATGGCGCGCACAGTGTTAGATGCTCCTCGCTAGCTATTCCCACTTGTAATATAGGCAATCGCTAATAATTTATATGGATAAAAGCATCTTTAGCAATGTCTCAAGGAAAGCAAATGTGAGATATCGCCAAGAATTCGATCCCACGACCTCTTTTCCGTCGGCCTGGGCCGCTGCCACTGCACTATCTCGCTTCATAACTACGTTCAGTCCGGTGTTAGTCGCGATTCCCATCCACTCCTAAACAGGCTGCCGCTGTTCTCACCATGCTGATACCGACACTAACGACCCCACCAACTAGACCTAATACAGCCCATCGTTGAAAGTTCCTCAACGCACGTATCACCCTGTTTGCAACATAGTGGATGAAAATTGCAAATCAAACGTAACTTTAAGATCTTACCTTGAACATCGAAGGTGCACTCCGTTGGTGTCGTTGCAGTCGGTCTAAAATTTCAACGTAACACCATTTGAAGTTCTGAAAAAGAATTTGTGCAAGGTCTATCACGGAAACCTCAAATGCTATGACCATACCGGCCGATTTAAACATCGCACATTATACACGGCCTGAAAGCCGCCTCCATTTGCGCAGGACTACGACAGCGATCGCAGCAGCACAGCAAGAACAAATGTATACGTGCAGAATTGTGTGTGGGTATAGCGGAAAATGAAATGTCAGTACTACGGCGTCATGCAGAAACCCGCTCACGTGCGCGACACTTCCCAGCACGTTTTCTAGCCAAGGAACTCGTAATGGAGCAACTTGGGACCAGGATAGCTAAACGACGCGCGCGCGCGATACCAACGTCGCCGCCACGCCGCTACCATCCTCATGTTCCAACCACCCTGCACCATGAAATGGTCAGTTGGCAAAATGAGGTGTATAATGAGGTATACATGGCTTGAGACACTGAACTCAAATCCGCTCTTGTTATTTGCAAAACGATTCCCTGAAAGAAGTTATGAAGCATGAAAATGCAGCTGTAGTTATCCTGCCTCACAGGCACAAGCTTGTGGGATTGGCTCAAATGTGAGGCTGTACTTTTGCTCTTTCCAGAAATATGTCAACATCCTTTCTAGTTATATTTCTGAGAAGAACAAGAGCACGGACTCACAGTGGAGTCGATCCCGCAACCTCTTGCTTGTGAGTCAGGGTCACACCGCTGCGCTTTCCTGTTTCATGCTTCTTTCACGATATCGCTCCGTAGATAAAGAGAACAGATTTGAACTGAGCGTTTCAAAATACGTATGCATCCCATTTTAAATGGCCGGGCTGACCAATTGACTTTCCTCTGACAGGATAAGCTCACAGAAGCTACTTTGACGCATTGACGATAGCGTGAACCAGTTGCGCGCAGGGTCAACCCTACGTTGCTACAAGTAACAACGGGGGGGGTCGTAGTTTGTTGAAAGTTTGTGGTGGGGGGGTCGTACTTGTTTCGGTAGCGCGAAATTACATGTGATGAGGTGAGAGCGCGCGGGAGAAAATTTGCCGTTTCAGCGTTTCCCCGCCCCTTTTTGAGGGAAAAAAGTAGTTGTGAAAAGGGGGTCGTAACAATTTTGCAAAAAATCCCAGCGATAGGACCGACCCTGGTTGCGCGTCACATCTGCGCGCGTGCGCACTCGTTTTGCTTGATTTATCAGGATTTTTCATGTTTAGTGCCCTCATACTTTATCGTATTCGGAAAACAGTATACTCGTTAACAACAACAAAATAAAAAAAAATAGAGAAAAAGAAAAAAAGAAGGATAGTGAAAAAAATTATCTTGGAAAAAATGTCAAGATGCACGCGTAGTGGCTGTCGTCAATGTTTTACGGGATGCAAGAACAAGTGCGCAGAAAAACTATCTTTCTAAACTCACAGCGACACTGCCCGAGGTCTTCCCCCATAGGATGTGATTTTTCATTGCTCTACAGTACTACTATACCAGCAAGCCTACATAGAAAACAGTGGGATAAGCAGACTCAAGATGGTGTATGAAGTGTTAACGGAAACATTTGGAAGGCCACTACGGCAATCAAACAAGGAAGGAAAGTAGTAACTTCTTTGCTTTCCTGACCCCTCTTCCTCCTCAATACTTTTTCCTAGTTCTCTAGGTCAAATAGCTTAAATATTTTACTCACCTGTTTGAAGAGGAACGCAAGAATAAAGCAGCAGGACCACATTGCGGCGCTAAGAATCATAGGGTGTTCTCGTCATGGGTTCAATTAGTCTTCGATCGATGGTCAAAACTTAGCGATTGTTCTGACTACAAGGCATGAGGTTGATCGATTCGGTTTCTTTCTGATGCTTTGTGTTTTACTTTTCCGGCATTGTGGCTACAAAGCTTTGGACCGCGTTGTTCCATCAAAGCTCACCCATTTTTGCTCATGGGAAGGGTTTGCAAGAAATTAAGCTACGGCAAGCTTTGTTCGCTACGGCAAAGACAAAGTTCCAACCTTGAAAGATAGGCTGAAAGTAGGTTCTCGAAGTCAGCTATCCTGGTTTGCCACATATAAGCGCCATGAAGTTGAACACTTGAAGGACAGCGTGATTCATATATGAATCACACTTGAATGACATTGTGATCTATGTGCACCATCCCGCGAGATCCAATTTTTTTTACCTTTGAGCGACTTTTTTGTATGGATCTGCTGTTTTCGTTCTAGAATTTGTTCTTTATTAAACAGTTTTGTATTGCGCTGACAAGGTCGCTGCGGACCAGTGCGACCCAAAATTGCCGCGCTGTCCCTGAGTTGTATAAGCTAATACAGTAGCAAGAAGAGAAAATGATTAATATATTTATCAATTTGTCGTGCAAATAACAATCTTTGTTGTGATTCAATTAATCCATTGTGATTTATCTTATTGAGCAGGCAATACAACAATACCTCTGAAACGACCAATCCATCATCTCAGATTGGTTAGCACTAGCGGTGAAAACATGAATCTAATACGCAGTATCTACTAATCCTGCTATATCAAGCAACAAAGGTCACTCGAAAGAAAGTTTCTACCGGGAATAATAAAGGCGAGAAGGCCGGAATGCACTTGCGTGCCCAGACGCCGCAGTAAAAAATTACAAAAGTTATTACATACATAATAGGTGATGCGGTCGTTTCATATGTTCCGGAACGCTTTGAGCACACGAAATTCTCCAATACAGCGGAATATAGAGCTATATAACCGAGGTCAAAGCGTTTAGGAATGATGTAAACTATAATATTGTATGACACACATTACAAAAAGTACTGAGCAGTAGAGGGTTCGAAAGCCTTGGATTCCGAAACTGTGACAGGAATTTCATAGAATGCTAATGCTATTGAAATCCAAGACGATCGCGAAACGACCTGACAACCACTGAGTGATTGAAAATGGCGATTTTCGCATCGAGTAATGATAAAATTTGATTCGATCAAGATGGACGTACTAATTGATGTTCGGACGTCAAACAACTCAAAAAACGCGTTATCAAACTATCACGTCAATCATGATAAGGAGGGAAATGGTGAGGGTAACATACATATGTACTAGGATCTACCGGTGCTGAAGGTATTGCGCGTGACGGTGGGCTTGGTCAACCGTCAGACACTACCCAATCACTTGCCACAACAGTACCTGTGTTGCAATCAAAACGAAATATTTCCCGTTTCAGCCAAATTGTCATCGTCGAAAGTGTCCTAGTTTTCAATTATTCAAAGCTTCGAATTGAGTAGATGACATATGTGTCCCTTGTGTGTAACTAGGTTGGACGAACTATTATCAACTATCAACACCATCGAATGTGAATGTATCGACGAATACAACGAGACTTAGCGTTCCTGTGATTAGCTGTGGAAAAGCTTTTTAACAACCGTGGAATAGAGTATATACATTGCAGCCCTAATGACGTTCCTCACGAACGCGACTAGGGAGGGGCATCGGGAAATGTCGAGAGCGCTCGTGATGCTAACGAGTTGTTGTGATAGGCTCCATTTCAGCCACAGAAACATTCGATTCTGTCATCCGATTGAAGCTTTGCTCACTCTTCAACATGTACGTCGTGCTTTGTGTTGTACCCAAACACTTCGACGCCTGAAATCATTCCTATTAATTGTCACAGGAGATTTTACCCGAGAGCTGAGAGTTTCTAATTACGAATTGAAGGAAAATTTAAAAGGTGTGGATTACTGTGGTCGACAAGGAAAAGTAGTTGTGGTGGTTCTATCAAGAGTAATTAAGAAAGCAGAAAAAACAGTGCTGCCAAAATCTCAACATAGTCGCGCCCCTATCGTATGGGCGGGGCTCGAGCTCGCACATGCTGAAGTCTCATTGGTTGCTAAACTCTTACTGTACTTTACTGTATCAGATTTCGACATATAAAGAGCGATGGCTAGCCAATGAGAAGCACGAAGGGGCGCGCACAAATCCCGCCCACACGACCAGTGTACAATGTCTTTAGAAATTTTCTGCCTTCTCTTGTCACAAACAATTTGCCCACTGCAACTGCGTTCATTTTCGAGCGCAATAAACCACATCTATTCAATCGTAGATTGTGTCTTTCAAGGCGGTGGGTACGATAACGTTTCTGTCAAATACAACCAAAGTGGATGTACCCGATGAAGAAAAAACAGTAAAATCGCCTAGGCAGACGAAATAGACCCTGCTTCAAATACGCCGCGTCAATAGAATACGGGTAGATGAGAGAGCACACGAGCAGAGATGCCAGGACATAAACATGAATAATGTGTTCATTGAGGGATGGGGCGACAGATCTCCTCGAGCACAATAGGTCCCCTCTGGCGCATCTTTCAATACGAAGTGCAACAGTTTCTGCTTGAGTATTTCTTTGCCTTCCAGCGTGCCTATTAACCCTATATCCACAATCAAAATATCGTATTGCCCGAATTTGCCTTATTGATGAGAGGCGCTACTGATATCAAAGTATCCGAATTCTCTGTAAATGCATGAAGAAGTTGTCAAAGGAAGTCGTACTCACCGCAGGAATGTCTGCTTCAAGTTTCCAGATCTTGAAGTATCGCAAGAACCAGACGCTAAATGTGGGTAGGATTGCCAGCAGTACCATACCCAAAGCGATGAACATCGCCCATATAGGATATTCGGTTTCCTTGAGCTTCGTCTGAAAGAAAATTGGTACGTTTGCATTGTTTTGAATCAGAATTTATATCCGAACATCAGATGTACTGAATATTGGTTAACCCGTTGGAACCCAAAATTTTCGATCAAACGTTTGCAAACATCAATATTTCAAGGCTTGCAAAGACCTTCGCAATTTTTTCCTACTTTTCGGTGGGAAGCGTACTTGTCACCTTCGAACTATGCTTCTACGGGCGAGGTGGGAAGGCAAGAAAGAGTCACTCCCAGCCACATTTGAAACGGAATTAATTTACACTTTGCTGGTTTGCAATCAAACCGTCTCAACTGTAAATTGAAGAGCACATTCCATCTATCAAAAAAATTTCATAAGGGCCTTCTACCCGACGACATCAGAAGATTTTCCCACGGAAACATGGTGCACGATTCAAGCTCAACGTGTCCTCGGCGATCGTAGACCATTACGACCTTATCTCAAGAGCGATCCTGCATTGTTGAAGCTACTGTCTCTGGGAAGATATCCACCAGCTAACCGATTGAAGGAATTCAGCAGCTTCAAGCTGGAGCGATTACGATAGGCCTCAAAGTATTAAACTGTGCTACAAAAGTTTGATTATGTGTGGGGCTCATGAGCGAAGCGACTTTTTTTTGCACCCCCCCCCCCCATATACACACTGTTATTGCTTTTCTAGTAAATCTTGGACTTCTATCCCAGAGCGAAAGAGGAACATCCCAAGCACAATTATGTTTTTAGTTCATTCCACCTACCTGGAAAGTTTACCGAATTTGCTCATTTTTGAGAGAGTTCGAAAATATGATGGCTTATGATAATGTGCTGTCATAGATTCAAAGTTCTCACAAGATGAAGGGAAATCAAAAAACACTTCAGCCATTTTTTAGAACTCGAAAATGTAATAGAAAAATTTGATTGCACATTCAAGGATGCTGGCGAATTTGATCGAGTAACTGAATCAACAAATTTATTCTGCCTGTGTATTCTCTTCCGCACGAATTATTTCGCTTGGCACCGCCTCAGGAAGCTTTTCTACCACTGCTGCCCCATGACGTCATCAAAACCACACAGCCCCCAGCCATAGCGATAACTGTCTTAAACGCACAATAGGTGTAGACGACGAACGCCTGGTCGTTGGCAGCAATACCGCCAGTCTAGTCCTTTTGGAAACCCCATCTCATTCCTCTCAAATTTTCTGCGGTCTGTTTCATCGCTACATGTGTGAGCCAACGGGAGGACTATTGGACCACTGAACACTTCGTTTAGGACGGTAGAGCGAGTCGTGCACCAAGTAAGAGGAAGCCGTGGTCCAACCAGCTCCGCCCATCGGTTCAGCTTAGCGGATGAAACGAAATGGGTTTCTTACTCAACAAAAATTACCGTTTCTTTGTCGTATGCATAATATGTAGTTGGCCTCGAGAAACTCTGCACAACGCTGCAAGTGAATAACACAGCCATGATGATCGGCGCGACAAAACGCCAGGTTATCAACCAGTACTGGCCAGGAGTCGAACCAGTCATAAAGTCAATATCCCGGGAGAAGCTACAATAGAGAACATTAAATATGCAGTACACAGTGAAATGAAAAAATAGTTCAAAAATTACCGTCTATATCCGTACACATACACTACTGCGATCACCTCGAAAAAGGCTACGCACATCAGCGCGTAAGAGCCAGCGAATGAGTCGAAAAGAGCTACCCAGTACTGAAAAGCAGCTGTATACATAACAAATTCATCAGCAATTGAAAGTTCCCAATTTCTTTCTATTCTGAGGTTGTTGTTACTAATCGGTGCAAAAGCTCTTGCTGCCTACAGTAATCCGGAAATTGGCCCCCGGTTGCCTGAATCACCCCGCTTTCGCTTGTACCAATGTACCAAATGCCCTATCCTCCCCTTTGTCAGTGACATAGAGATCCCTATTTTGTTCTACTCAGGAAAAAATATTCTCATTCTCAGTGCAAGTGCGATATGAAACAATGTGATCAATTACGTCAAAGCTCTTCAAACGCACCTGTCCGGCTCGGGTTGAAAAAAGCAGTCCGACGAGGCAAGCTGACGCACAAAGTACTGCTGTGAGCACTGGCTTTGTGACGGTTATTAAATGCGAGTCATTCAAAGAAGTGATTACACCCTCGAGAGTACCTGAAAAAAAAAACAATAAATGGTTCGATTGCATCTTTCAATATCGCAGCTTTTGTGAGGGGAGCAATGAGCCAATTTTACATCACACGAAATTTTTCATTGTTCTAGCACTAAAAATTTTTTGAATCTTTTCCTTACGCTTCATTTTCCATGTTTTGATCATAAGTTTTAGAGGAGCTGGAATTTTTCATTTTAGGATTAAAAACTGCCAAAGCGTAGCATTCAGCCAGACAAGTGAGGTTTTGAAAAATAGCGAAAAAAATAACGGTTTATTGAACCTTCAATATGGTATGTTAAGAAGAGGCCGGGAACAGAACATGTTATAGTTATAGAACATGTTATAGAACACACTACTGATTGATTTCTTCCGAGAAGCACCGAGTTCAAAGGAGGAGTTTATGATGAGAAGGCAGGCCATTAGAAGTAAAGGTGGAGGGGGTCAGGGAGCAGGAATGAATAAAAAAGCATGAGAAACGGCTCGAAACTCGAGAAACGGGTCCCCGTAAATTTCCGCATTGATGCAACTTTTATCGGTGTTGGACTGTTCCACGCTAACGCTTTTCCTGCTTAACGACTAGGGACTCATATGGTAAAAGTGGGCGTGCCGCGCCGATAACGTCGCGGAGACGGCCGTGCTAGACCACCTCCGCTCTTCATCCAACGCCTTTTCTTCATCTTCTCTCTAGCGGGTCCCGCGCAGTCGCAAGGTCCGCTGACTCTTCATCCGACGTGTTCAGTGTATTTTAGAAAGTTGTCAAAGAAAGTCTCACCAAACATGCTTCCGAGACCGAGAGAAAGAAGCATCAAGAAGAAGAGGATCGACCAAGCTGGTGGAAATGGAAACTTCAGAATTGCTTCGGTAAATACGACGAATGCTAGACCAGTTCCTTCAGCAGCCTGAAATATGTTGTGCCACATCGACGAGCTCTGCATTCGAAGACCATCTCACAAGTACATTTTTTAAGACTTGAGTACATATAATCGTTTATTAACCAATAGCATTTAAGAGCAAGCATTGAAATTTAGGTCAAAAAATATTCAAAGACATATAACCCTGCACGCCTTCGCGCGAGGGTCAGAAATGGGTGTTTGGAGCAAATATACAGGGTATCCCATAAATATTGCACCAAATTTTGAGCTCAATTTCTGTAGCTGTTTATAGCTTTTCTTCCGAGGTTGACTGACCTTTCAATTCCCTATCCTCTTGTCAATGACCATGCCAAATTCCACAGCTTACCTTTCGTTGTACATCTCATGGTGCACCTAATACTCGAGAGAGGTCCTAATCTCCCATGCAGTAAGGATGTCGCGCTTCTTTGGATTTTTACACGCTCCACGGCCTACTGTGGACTGGATGAAAGAGCAATGAAAGTAGTCTTTGTTGCGGACGCCCCACAAGTTCTGACATCTTGGATCTCAGGAAAAGCATGAAGAAGCGAAACGACTGCAATACCCGGGTTGGCTCGAGAAAGGTGACCAGAACGCTGGAGTTTCTAAACACAGCCATGTAGAGAGTGGTCGGATAACAACTGCTCACAGTCCATTATAAGTTGCATAAGCACCACTGCTCAATCCAACGGGAGGAGCACAGCAGAGACAAAAAGTTCAAAGAGCTGGTGTCGAGGGCCGAAAATGGCGATTACGCGGGCACCGTTTTCATCGACGACAAAATTCCTCACATGGAGCGGAGCTACAATCTTCAAACTCCGGGGATGAACGCATGAGGTCTTAGGGAA